TTTATATTAACAACTGGCGTTTGTTTTGCCTCAGAATTGTTTCCTCCATCTTTGTTAATTTTTCTTACGTAAGAATCTTCTCCTAACCATCGCAACCCCAACAAAAAAGAATTAGCAAAACCGGTCCAGCAGTTCTCGAGATTTGCGCTTAGCAACACTTTCAGCCATTCATTTTTATATTATAGAAGAAGATATATGTAGACTTTTCCAGATATTCCCGACTTTTCCAAAATGTTCTTATACAAGATTCTTCTCTTGATAATAACAAACGCAATTTGGACTTATTTGAATATCATTAGAAGTCATACTTCTGTGTCTGTGCTAAACAAGCAGATTTATTCAGTAGCTTTTTACAAACATACATATATAACCTCACGCCTGTCTCCCATGGGGTAGGCAAAGACTATGGAACGCTTTGCTACAATTCTTACATACTTCTTTCGCTTCATCAACAGTGATCTGTCTTTTCATGCATGCTCGTCGATTAAGGATACTTTTAATTCGGCCTTTCTTGAATATATCACCAATCTGGTCGATATATGTCCGTCTAGGGCGTTATCTACCGATAGCTTCATTATTTCCGCTCAGTATACTTCTTTCGTTACTCTACTTTCATCGGTCCTTTCTACATGTTCAAACCATCGTAGCGTTCTCTTTTCAATCCTTGTCACTACATTATCTTTCAATCCACATCTTTCTCTAATTACACTATTTTTCATTCTGTCACTCAATTTTACTCCACACATACTGCTCAAGGCTCTCATTTCCACCGCATACCTTAGTTTGCGGCCAGTAAGTACTTTATGCACCGTGACCTCAAATACAAAAAAAAAATGGCGAAGATAATTTGTAGTCATATTTTATTCAATAAAGCATAGTTAATCAGAGTCGTACGACGTTTCTTTGCTGACCACATCCTGCCTGTGCTGTAGACACAGGCAATGGGAAATAGCAGTTATGTACCTACAGAAATCATGCACTAATTGCATAGTTACCGGTCAAGCTGGATACTAGGTCGGTTTGTAAACCTTCTAACAGCTTGCCACAATATGAAACACACTAATACTAAAGATACTGTTAAATAAGCTTTAAAAGAGTATGCTAAAAGATGTTCTGTTGAGCATGTTAAAAAAAATCTAAATTCTTCTTCTTTTCTTTATTGGCCCACCAACAATTGTATACATTAGTATATTTTTTTTAAGGGGGAAAAATCATCGAATGACTGTTCCCGCCTGAGTGAGGCGGGAGGGAGTGTCAGACTCTTACTGACTAAAAACCACCCCGTTTCTTCTCCTGCACGTCGAGCCGGAGCCCCGGTTACCCGTTAGATTCTCCGCGACATACCTCTACATTAGTATATTAAACAACAAACATTATCATCAAATAAAAGTAAAATGTTACTATCGATTAAAGGCAAAGTATTATTTAAGAAAAAAATAATGAAGCTAATATAGAATAAAATATGTCGGGTAAAACACATTAAGTTGTATTAATTTACGTGAATAAATTAGCAATAGATTAATTAGAGGAAATGAAATAAATTCGAACGGCTGTTTAGTTTATTATATGTCTGAAATGTGCCTGGTAATTCCTATACACATGTTATGATGTGACATGTGACTTTCCTTTTGCTAACAAAAGCGCCAAAGGAACCCTCGATCAATTAACATGTGACTGTCCACTTTCCACCACCTTCCGACATCGCACCGCATCGAGGCGGTTCCAGACGTTTCAGTAAGAGTTCGGCACACTCCCTCATTGTCCTCAGTCAAAGTCCATAATAGTAGAGTAGCAAAAATTCAAGTAATACTTTATTCGATCTAGAAATTGAACTTGAGAACAAAACAAACCTCTGACTTTATCAATGGAGCCGTAATATTGAATTTTCAGCTAAAATATTCAGTAACTAGCTTTTACCTGCGGCTTCGCTCGCGTCACAAAAGGATAAAAAGTACCCTTTGTGACATATACCAATACACACAGAGCCATCTATACTAATAATTAGCGAGGGGGACTGGGATGCCGTCTCCTCCTTTTGCGAAGCAGTCATGCTAGCTAAGGAGGAGGCGGGACGCGTGAGGCAGCGAAGCGCTGCCTCCTCGCAACCCAGCCATCGCGAAGGACACACCGGGCGTCGGGGATCGCGGGACGATCTCCGGCCACCGTAAGCGCGGGCCTGCGGACGGCGAGCATGGGTGGCTCCCCGTCCGACCAGAAACAGACCCGAGCGTACGGCGCGTCGCGTTCCGCGCGCGCCTCAAAGAGCCATCAGACCACCACAGATGGGGCCCAATAGGGCCGATGCCGATTCGGAGTCGCGGAGAACCTAACGGGTAACCGGGGCTCCGGCTCGACGTGCAGGAGAAGGAACGGGGTGGTTTTTAGTCAGTAAGAGTCTGACACTCCCTCCCGCCTCACCCAGGCGGGGGCAGTCATTCGATGATTTTCCCCCCTTAAAAAAAAAAAAAAAAAAATACTAATAATTACGTTTTCTCTCGAGAATATCAAATTTTTCTGGGATAAAAAGTAACCCATTATTTAATCCAGACTTCTAACTTTACGTCTGCAAAAATTCAAAGCAATCGGTTTAGTAGTTACGGCGTGAAAGCAGAACGAACAAACAAACAAACAAACTCACTTTCTCATTTATAATATTATAGTAAGGATAGTAAGGATTCATGCCTGTAGCAATATTTCCACTTAAGACAAAAAATATATTCACGTCTTCTTAATTTTTTCTACCTTAATCTTAAATTACTCGGAATCAGCGCCATTGCGACCTTATTCTCCAATTTCCATCATCGCACATAAAAAATATAAATAGACAACACAAACAAAACAATATTTTAATAAAAGTACATTTTACTACTGGGAAGTTTTAGTATTGCCGGACCGTTGAGTTCACAAGTGGCGACAATCATATTGTGCTGAGGGGTACAGTCGGCTAGCTCTCAAGTGGAATTCCCGGCCAGAGATTAATGTAGACCCTATATAGGCCACTAGTTATGGGCAAATATGATACAGATCATATCTCCCACCTCTCTCTCTTTGATAAAGGGTTCGAGGGTGCTAATTATACTGGACGTCGCGTTAATAGACCGACATTTGACTGAAGGTAATATCTACCGAAAGAATCCTTTTACTAACAGTAGGCCATTTATTTATTTATAATTTATAACAATAAAGACTACCAGTAACACACCAAATCGTCTACATGTCACTTAAATTATTTATCTACATATAACTAACCATACTAAAAGAATGTCTATAATATTATGTCGCTTCGATCAGTTTAGTTTTAGTAATTTAGTTGTACCAAATATTATTATGTTATGCAACATTATCCCAAATATACAAAAGTTCAAAATACGCTTCGCTGTAACTACGTTGGTGAGAATGTAGTTTATGCTAACTATGTAATAGCAACTAATTTATGCGAATTATAGTATAACAAGTTGTGTCAATGGGACATGCAAGCATTGTACAGTTGCAAGCCGTCTTGATCACCCGGGACTCGAGAGATCTGTTTGAACACGTCGTACGTGCAATAAACGCATCTCGAGCACTGCTTATTCAGTATTATGGTATCTTCGATGTGTCTAATACGTTGGTGGTATCGCCAAACAGAAGTGATTAGATGTTTTTATCATTACTAAAACACAACGCCTTTGAATAGTAGTTAAAGATGTACATATTCAGTGTAATAGCCACTATTTATATAGAGGTTGATTATACAAATGCACCGGGCAAAATTCCAGAGAGTCTTTCTGACAAACCCCAATAAAGTTTAACAAAATGATGCTCACCCCGGGAAACGAATTCGAGATCTATTACTCAGTAATTGCAACCATTCTATCAACGATACATTTTAAAACAAAACCAAATTAAAATGCCAAAAATCTTCAACCATATATTACACAACTATAGTTATAGAACGGGACACACTATTCACCGGGTTTGACAGGCGAGGTTCTTATAGTCTCCAGAGATGGGGCCACCTACTCCACAGTCCGTCTTGACCATCCAACACGGGAATTCGATTAGGTTACGTAGCCAACTTAATTGGCGTATCCACCGCACCTACAACCCGCTTCCGAATTGAACGTCCCATCCTCGATGCGAGCTATAGTAAAGCCTTAAAGGATTCTATGTATAAGTATACAGTAGGCTTTTGTCTTAAGAGGTTCTCTTCGATTGATCCCATTCGATTTGAATCAAGTTTACTGTAGAATGTTTGTGGTGCAATAAGGTTAATAGTAGTAGTTTCGACGATTGTATTAATTTACTTTCATTGATCTTTTCCGGACAATATGTGGTCATTTTAAGGGGTTCGAAAATGGAACTCCGTTTCAAAATTTATGTCAACATAACATAACATCACGCCTTTTATCCCGAAGGGGTAGGCAGTGTACATTATGCCACTGTACAATGTAACACCCACTTTTCACTATTTATGTTATGAGTCCCATGTAATAGGGGGTGAGCCTATTGCCATATACCGGGCTCATGTCCAGACTTCGTGCTACTACTGAGAATTTATAAAAACCCAGTAGTACTTTGCCCGACCCGGGAATCGAACCCGAGACCCATTGACCGGCAGTCGCACTTGCGACCACTCGGCCAACGAGGCAGTCAAAATTTATGCTGGATAATTATAGGTATCGGTATTGTGATGTGACGGCAGGTTTTTGTGCCAACACCTTTGGCATTGAACTTTTAACTTCTTGTAGTTTTGGAAATCAACGTTAAACATTTAACCTTTAAAAACTTACCCCTTCCCATCTCCCGATCTCGAATCAACCGTAATTTATTTTTCCCTTCATTTTTATCATATTCCCCTTTTTTTTCTAATGAGGTTCATCCTACTGTAATTTCTTATAACTTTTTATCATTTTTGAAGGTTTTGGCTCTAGTTTAACATTTATACCCCGCATCAAGGTGAAGGTCGGAGGTCTTCGGAGAATAAAAGGCATGACCTAATATTATGCTGTTTTTTGCAGGCGATCTCGGAAAGTGCGTGGAAATTCTACTGAGTTGAAAAGGCAGATTCCGCGGAAGGTGGATTTGGAGAGGAGCTGGTCTTCGTGGGACGGTGATTCGACGAGGAGCTGATCTACGTGGGATCGACGGTGGAGTCTTCAAGCAGTGAGGAGTACCAGCTTCGGAGAATCTGCCATTTCACCAGTTACCTGCCACGTACTTTATGTACTTGATTCATACATTTAAATTTTTGGTGAGTTTATGAACATTATTTTCTTAACTTCGAACTCTTCGTTTCGTGTTACTTGATTATGGAAAAAATAATAATATTTTGATCTAAGATTAACTGTACTACAAAAGTACTATAAATAACTGTAAGCTGACTGTAGTAAGTAGTGCACAATTTGTAGCTATTGTATTTTGGGTACATAATATAATGTGTTTAGTAATCCAAGAAAATAAAATGTTGAAGGCTCAGACATCAATAAAATTATAAGATCACCTTAATATTTATAACTAGATTGTATCAGGGCCTAAATTGACATTCGTAGTCTAGTTATTACGAATAGCAAACAGAATAGGAAACTGATAGAACAAATAGAAAATCTGTGGAAATTATAGAAACTCTCATGGGATTTCGTTAATACCCGGTTGTGTTTTCTCTGTATCCGTGTGATTATGTAGTTTTAGTGTAGTACGATATCAAAGTGTTTGTTGATAGTCAACAATCGACACACACATTGCTGCACTGCAATAAGTCTGTGTTCTATACTTTGATCATAGGTGTACATAATTTCGGTGTATTGCGTTACTCATTGACGCGCGAACAATTGAGGAACCTATCGATTAATCGTTTGTGGAACTTTAATGATCGATTATGGAATATAATGACAATGTTATCATTGCTTCATTGGGCGACAGGTTACAAGCGTGTCTGCTAAACAAGGTGTCACGGATATGAATTCCAAAATGTTCAGTAATTGCGGGGTCCAGAATTTATCAATTTACATTTTCCTATTGAACTTCGACCGTATTGTGATTGGTCGGTTCTTAAACTCATTCTACAGGGAACCATTAAAAATTGTGGCGTATTACTACAAAAGTATTTACATTGAATAAGAATGTGGTACGGTCACTCCTAGTAGTGCATGAGAACCTAACGGGTAACCGGGGCTCCGGCTCGACGTGCAGGAGAAGGAACGGGGTGGTTTTTAGACACTCCCTCTCGCCTCATCCAGGCGGGAGCAGTCATTCGAAGATTTTCCCCCTTAAAAAAAAAGTGGTGACATTGCATAGGGACGGATCTACCTAAGGGTTTTTGAGCTTAAACCCAGGGTAACGGGGATTGTATAAAATAACGGAGGGAGCTGTCAAAAAATAGTTATAATTGTAGATTTCTAATGTAGAATTGACTTTAACTAAAGTTGTTGTTGAAGAGAAGAATGAAAACCTTTATTGCACGCTAAAAACAAGTGACATGTTAGAATAAGTCATTCTATTAGGGAACTGAAGAGTGAGTACCAAATATAGGGTTGATCTGTCGGTCGGTGAACACTTAGAATTTGAACCCTGGCGGACTGGGCTGAGTAAACGCAGGCACGTTATCAACATCATTGTACACCTATGCGATTAAAATGACTAAAGATGAATATAATATATAATTATGAATAAATATTCCAAGCGAATTATTAATGTAGTTTGACATATGCGGTACTGATGAGTGATGAGTGGTTCTTCAATAATATCTGCGCGGCGTCCCCGCTCGATGCAAGCGTTAATTCGTGACGGACATGTGCAGCCGAGAGCTCCTGTATTGTGCTAATATTACACGAATTACAAAACTAGGAAGATTCCCAAAATTGATCTCCCTATCACGTCATAATATAATGTAATTTCCGTATTAGCCATAATAAGTACAGTACCTATCACATTTTTAATTGTCATACATATTAAACTGTCAAACACCGCGAGGACACCGGTGACCGCAACCTATTGTTCTTTGTTTCTATAATGACGGTACTCAAAGAGTTAAAATATGGTACCCATTTTCCACTAGTTAAGTTGAGCAGTAAAATATTAGAACCAAATACATACTTTGTTCTATTACTGCGAAATATCCGAACATGAAAAACCTAATAGTAGGTTGCCCAATTTAAGAAGTATGGAATTGCATCCGACTCACCTTGAATCTTACACCTATCGAGATATACGGACTGCCTCTGCTGTCAAAAACACCTACTTATAAATTGTGAAAGTAGTGGTTCATATAATGAATTCTGTATATAATAAGAATTCATAATCTCTAAGATAGGGAAGATAACGTAAACTCGAACGACTCGAATTGCGAAGTATTAAGCACAGCCGCAGGCGCAGGCGCCGTTTAACCACGGCATACAAAGTACCTTCATAAAATAAAATAAATAAATGCCTAATGTGAGGATTTGTCTACAATTCAATATCTTTTATAAATAATAATACCTGAAGTATCTATTTACGAGTAAACATTCGCCATTACGGACAGCATTTGATTTTGCGCAATTTTTCAACGAACACTTTTAGGTCTTATCGCATTTTAATCCCTCCCTAATATTAAAAGGACAAATATTATGTACAAATACTGTACAAAAAAATATACAAATATTAGATACACGATGATCACGTTCATAAGTTAAGTGGAATATAAGTAAAGATATAAATAAGAAGGCAAAGAGTTGTTTATCCCATTTTGTTATGAAAATGATAGGTAGGAAACCAATTGGGTCATGTAATGTAGACATTAATTAATCTTCTTTCATCTGTCTTCTGGAGTCTACTCCAGAAGACGCCTTTCAAGACAAGAAGTGGATGTGCCAGAAGGAACTTGAACAGTTCTATTGGTGTAACATATGACAGAAACAATATTATAAATTGTTATGAATTAATATTAAATATCCAAGGGTATGAAGCACCCGGAGGACACGGTGGAGCATACGGTGGCGGTGTGTCCTGCGTAGGCTGAGCACCGCCGTGTCCTCAGGGATGTGATCGGCGACGGCGACCTTTCGCGTCCGGCTCTGGTTCAGACCGTGGTACGGAGCGATGGGGACTGGGATGCCGTCTCCTCCTTCTGTGAAGCAGTCATGCTAACTAAGGAGGAGGCGGAGCGCGTGAGGGAACGAACCTCCTCACGCCCCGGCCGTCGCGAGAGACATTCCGGGCGTCAGGGATCCGATACGGAGCCGCGGAAGTTTTAACGGGTTGCCGGGGCTCCGGCTCGAAATGCAGTAGTAGGATCGGGGTGGTTCTTAGTCAGTAAGAGTCTGACACTCCCTCCCGCCTCACGCGGGCGGGAGAAATCATTGGATGATTTTCCCCCCTCAAAAAAAAGGGCCTGTAGCAGGAGCGTTGTCGTTATGTTCTTTATGAAAGAAGACAAAACCCTCTTGAATAACTATCGACTTAATTCCCTTCTGAGCCATGTCTATAAGCTGTTTCCAGAGTCATCACTAACCGTCTCGCGCGAAGACTCGATAAGTTTCGGCTCCCTGAGCAGGCTGGGTTCCGATCAGGATATGGCACCATAGACCACATACATACAATGCGGCAAATTATACAGAAGACTGAAGAGTCTAATCTGCCCTTATGACTAGCATTTGTGGACTACGAGAAAGCCTTTGATTCCATTGGAACCTGGTCTGTTCTGGAGTCTTTGCCACGGTGCTAAGTCGATTGGCGTTATGTCCAAGTGCTGAGAGATCTATACGATGCTGCAACTATGGTCGTCTCAGTACAGAACCAGCAATCTGAACTTGTCCACCTGCATCGGGGAGTAAGACAAGATGATGTTATTTCTCTCAAATTAATTCCCAATGTTTTAGAAGATATGTTCAAGACGCTGCGCTGGAAGGGACGGGGCATAAATATAAACGGCAAATATCTCTCACACTTGTCGCGGAGAACCTAACGGGTTACCGGGGCTCCGGTTCGACCTGCAGGATAAGGAACGGGGTGGTTTTTAGTCAGTAAGAGTCTGACACTCCCTCCCGCCTCACCCAGGCGGGTGCAGACATTCGATGATTTTACCCCCTTAAAAAAAAGTATCTCTCACACTTAAGATTTTCAGATGACATCGTCATCGTGGCTGAAACCGTGCAATATGCTGAACAGCCTGGCTGATTCGTCTGCTCGCATTGGACTCTGGATGAACTTAGAAAAAACGAAGGTGATGTTGGTCAATGAACATGTTCTTCCGGAGCCGATCACCCTGAATGGGTCTACTCTCGAGGATGTTTAGGAGTTTGTCTACCTAGGACAAACTCTACAGTTTGGTAGAAACAACTTCCAAGAGGGAGGCTCGTAGAAGGGTACGCTTGGCGGGGCGTCATATAGGAATCTTTATCGGGTCTTTTCGTCAACTCTACTGCAAAGACAAAAGTTTCCAACGAGTGCGGCCTACCAGTAATGACATACAGAGCCGACACGTGGACACTGGACACAGTGCGACTGTTCCATCAATTTAAGGTGGCGCAGCGAGCTATGGAGAGGGCTATGCTCGGAGTCTCTCTGAAGGATAGGATCCGTAACGAGGTGATCCGACAGAGAACTAAAGTTACTGATGTAGCCCAAAGGGTAAGCAAGCTGAAATGACAGTGGGCCGGTCACATTTGTCGAAGAAACGATGACCGTTAAATGTGTTCTGGAGTGGAGACCGCGTCTAGGCAAACGTAGTGTAGTGTAGGGCGCCCTCCAGCTAGGTGGAGTGACGATATACGTAAAGTATGCGTAGAGCTGAAGATCGAGCTCAGTGGCGTGCCATTGGGGAGGCATATATCCAGCATTGGACGAAAACAGGCTTGTTGATGATGAATATTAAATATTGAAGGAAAGGAGGAGAAAGGTCAAAGAACAATGAACGTAGGGCTAGATGCAAGAAATGAAACGAAGCGAACAAAAAAGTTGACGTGGAGTCGAAACTAAAGAGAAGAAAAGAAGAAATATTTGACAGGTCTCAAATAATTTGGCGTTAGAAGACAACTTTTGTTTTGTTAAAATAGTTATTTAGAGCTCTAATTATGGATGGTTGGTTATAATTAATGTTGTTATAGTAGTTATAATGATGACCTTTATAGAGAAAGTTAACGAATGCAAGACAGCAAATGTGCGCAGCGGGAATATGTAGTAGACATCCTGGATTATTGTAGCATTGAACTGCCTTGTTATTCAAACGTGGTCAATCAGGTAGGACATGTACCGACAACTTTTTTATTATTTCGA